GGTTTAAACACACCACCGGGGCCAGCTTGCTGTGGCAAAACGCCACCGTATACAGAGCAGACTCCAGCAGGACTGAAAATAGTGCTGAGAACTTAGTTAAAGCATGGTCTTCCACTCAATATATCCATTCGATAAATCTCCGTACAGTACCTATATCCTTTCATTACAGTTGAGAACTTCCAAATTGCAGAAAATAGCAAACCAGCCGTGGCATGTCCCAACATAGGGCTGAAGCTGTAGTTTGGAAGTATGGAATCCGTTCTTTGTGGATAGGGTGCTTGTATCTTGGAGTTCCCAACCTGGGTGTGCAATGCTGCATGGTGCAGCCACGCATTGTGGAGTTGGAGGCCCCTAGTGCCCTTTTTGAGACCCCAGCTTGTCTACGTGCCAGAACCACCAATAATAATGCAGGTTTCCATAGGAAAGTCGTCATTGCTATGGTTTGTCAGCGTTGCCGTCCAGTTGTGCTTGTTGTTGACTGCTCTGTTGGAGGTATGGGCCAGGTGTCTGGCAGGATGCCACTGGTAATTCGAATTAGAGGGTCGTCTCTGCGGGAGTGCTGGGTTGGCTGCATTGAGGCCTGGAGTCAACATATATCGGAAAGGGATTATATAAACAGCACAACTTACATTTTGGCGAGTATTTTCTTTGCATCCAAGCTAGCCCAACCAGCAATGCCAGACCTGCTCCATACGCCCGCCCCTCTCTGCGCGTGTTCAGCCTACACTCCAGCCGGCAGCAGATTTGGCAAATTTGCAGCACCGAGATGCCTCCAACCTAGTAGCGATGGCCTCCAACCTGAGAGCGATCGTCTCCAACCATTTTTCTGACATTTACAACGAATTCTAGATTTGCCTTTTGTTTGTCCGCTGTGCCGCAGATGCCGATTTACTATTTTACGTTTCTCCCCGTTGCAAAAGCAACTCCACAACCCAAACCCACACTGCAAGCCAGCACGGTGGACCTGCTCCCCACTTAGACACGCCAGGATGCCTTTGTTTGTGTTTGCGCACCTTATCAATGCTTTTTAAACATGTGTTAAATGGTTTTGAGCAGGGGGAGGAGGACGGAGTCTACAAAGTCTGCCAGTTCCAGCAATCGAAACAATTTTGCCGATCAGCTGAGTTCGTGGTCCACTCAGAGCTCCTTGTTTTGCTTGCCTTCGTCTGGAGCTTAAAAGTCTCAAGAGGGTCTGAAGCAGCCATCAGGTCTACGTGTGGAAACCTCATGCATGCCTTTTTCTGTTGCCAATGTGGACACAGGATGAAACAGGCTCCACATGCACAGGCTTGCGTGTCCGTGCGCGTGCTAGACTTGACACACCAAGCTCACAATCCATGAGAATCGTGTGGTATGTGGCTTGGTGGGCCTACAGGGCCTACTACACCCTATTGATTTCACCACCCTTTGGAATAAAACGTATCCTCCACCAGTGCGACGCTCAAATGAGAAGGATTAATCGGCACACCAAGGCATGGCAAAGGGCCAAGAGGCGGACGGATTTCATCAGGGCAGTGATGCAGTTGCACAGTGTGTCGGACACCCAGTGCAGGTGCGCTACGAACGGGGCTCCTGGCATTGCTACTAGGGGCTCCTGGCATCGCTACTAGGAGCAAGGACGCCACTAGGAGCAAGAAGCTACTATATAATTAGGTTGGAGGCCATCGCTAGTAGGTTGGAGGCCATCCCTACTAAGGTTGGAACAGTGTAACATGTTTGTGAACCACCGAGGCTAGGCCTGGTTGCATGGTTCGCCGCCTTGGCAGCGCTTCACTCAACTGGCCCAGTTAAACAATTCTTCATTTTGTTTTTGGCACTTTCTTTTTCACCATGCTTAGCTTGTGCCCAGGTGATGCTGCTAGTAGGAACTCTCGCGTGGGAGTCACAGGCTCAGACATTCCTCACCGTGCCGCGGCTCAGAAACCTAATGGCAAATGGCCTCCACCCCAATAATACTAAGAGATCTAATAGCAAAAGGAACCTAGAAAGTAATGGCCTCCAACCTACTAGCGATGGCCTCCAACCCAATAGCTGGCGGCCGTACTGAAGCTTCCACACATGGAGTTTCCACCCAACGTATCTTGGAGCTACCAACTTGGCACAACAAGGGCACGCTAAGGGGAAGGAAGCGAATGGAGTTGTTTTGTTATCAGCTACCTCCAAGATGCATGGTGATTCGGAAGGTGGAGAATTGTAGTGATGTGTCATGTGCCACTAGTAACAAGTGCCTCGCTACTAGTAACAAGTGCCTTACTAGTAGTAACAAGAAGCTACTGGTTACTAGTAACAAAGGGCATCGCTACTAGGAGCAAGGACGCTACTAGGTGGTGTGCTGTTGTTGGTTTCTTTTTTAGTGCCATGCTGTCATGCTGGCTGTCATGAGTCATGTGGTGATTTGGCTGCAGTGCAAGGGTGGTGATGAGTGATGAGACAATGCATTGTGCGGTGACATGTTCTATCGTGTGGTGATGTTTCTTTGTTTCTCAAGGGTTTCGACTTCTTTGTCTTGTCAATGCCAGTCTCCGGAAATTGCTACTTACTCCTCTTTCTGGACCTTCTTAGAGCTTTTCTGCAAACTTTGGTTCTTTGGTAGTTTAACATAGTTTCATTAAGTTTCACTAGTAGTAGCTTCTTGTTCCTAGTAGTAGGGCCAGGAGCCCCTAGTAGCGTCCTTGCTCCTAGTTTAACATAGTTTCATTAAGTTTCACTGGACATCTGGACACTTGTGGTTCTATCTAGACTCTACAGATGCCTTCTTTCCGATACTCTTAGCAAGCTTGGCTTTTCCATATTTCACTCCGTGATACGCTGGGTAAGTATTGAATTCTTGACGCTTCTCTAGAAATCTTTGCTTTGCCGCTAGGTGTTTATGCAGAAATCGGTGCCTCCTTTTCGTGGCTTTTCCGCTCGGTAGGAACCGTTGTTTCAGGTTGTTTCTACCCTTTTTGTTTGGATCTCTTCACTTTTCTCTTCATCTCTAGTTTTGTATGGTGCTCCTCTCCAGAAGTTTGCCTTGGTAGCGTGGGAGGGCTGGTGGAGAAGTGAAGAACGTCAAGCTATGAAGTGTTGACCTTTGCTCGATATCGCCAAGATGTGTCCAGGTGTTGTTTGGGCGGTCTCCACATCGGTGCTATGTCCCGATGTGGCGCGATGTGGTTGCATTGAGTTGTCATTCGTGTTGTCACGTGATGCCGTCTCAGGTGGTGCGATGTTGTTGTAGGATGTGCTTTTGAGGTTGTCAGGCCTCTCTTACTCAGACTCAAGCAGCCGTCGCGCAAGAGCAACCCCACGGCACACGTAAAGACTTGAGGAATTTCAGGAACGGAAGTTGTTTTTTTTCCCGAAAGCATTGCGAAGGGTTCTTCCGGAAAATCCTTTGAACACTGACACTTCGACACTTGCACTTCGACACTCACACTTACACACACACACACCGTGGAAGAGCGAAAGCATCCAAGTGCGAAGTATGCCAGTGTCAAAGTATGCAAGTGTAAGTATGCAAGCATGATATGCAAGGGTGAGTAGGCAAGTGTGAGTATGGAAAACTAGCACGGGAGATGTCCTAATGAAAAAACATTTCCCCACTTTATAAATTCTCTCTTAAAGGCGGAGTGCGGGACGAACAGCGTCAACCGAAAGTGCAACCCTCTGCGGAGATCGTGCGTGTCGAGTGCGCGAAATGCAGGCGAGAGTGCGATGTGCCGGCTGTGCGCGCAACCCTCTGCGGAGATCGTGCGTGTCGAGTGCGCGAAATGCAGGCGAGAGTGCGATTGGTGCGGTCCGCGCGCAACCCTCTGCGGAGATCGTGCGTGTCGAGTGCGCGAAAGCAATCTGTGGAGCTGGAAGCTGAGAACTGGCGACTTTGTAGTACAACTTTAGTACGCAGAGTAGCTGGGGAG